CTAATGAGACAGCTCGACCAGAAAGAACCACGATCGCACAGAATACCAGCGTGAAATAGCAGTATAATGCTGTCGTGTCTTTTAGGGCGGCTGTCATGAACCGGAGACCCTTTTAACTAATAACGAAGCATTCCTTAGTCGTCAGAGGTGACATCGCACCTGCTCTTTGATATTTTTTTAAAATAGAATAAGGGTGACAAATGAGCACACAGTCCACCTGATGGTTAGTGGATGCTGTGGCCCAAAACATCTACATTTATCTTCAAATAAGATTCAAAATATATACCCTGAGGACTAAAATGGAATTCCACGTTTCCAGTAAAAAGGGTCACCGGTTCTCTACACTCACCATACGAAACACTTTTACACACACACAAACATTGAACTGCTATTTTACGCTGGTATTTTGTGAGAGCGTGGCCCTACCCCGGTCGAGCCGACCCATTCGTACTACAACTATACTATTTATATAGCTGTAGCATGGCTCTACAACGTATAAAATTGAAGATCGATTTAACAAAGACACTCACTGGAAAGCAAGGATCGTCACCTGGTAAAATAAAATCAGTGTGTCAGTAAAAATGTAAAAAAAATCCGTTGTATTTTAATTAAGAGTATGTAGTTTTATAGAAATATTAATATTTTTCAAAATTACTCATTTTAGCTTAATACCTTAAAATGTAGTGTGCATATTGCTTCAGTATTGCTTTTTAAAACGTAGTGGTTATAACTTTTTTCAGTATTTATTCTACTCTATGGTTGTTATACTCTTTGTTGCTATTGTCGATTACAAAAGCGTGTCTGTCGGTATGACTGGACGCGATCGCATGTTTCCGGCTTTTTGTCATTTAAATATTTAGGACAGTGTCCTCTGTTGCTGCATTCAGCGTTGACTAGGGTTGCCAACTTTATAACTTAAACTTGAGATAATAAAATCAAAAATGTCAAATATTGTTTTTTTTACTTTTTACTAATAAGCTTAAAATTCTAACAATTCTTTTTTATTTTCACATTGAACATGCTTCCGTTATCAGATACAGAAACAGAAACAGAAACTTTTTTATTCAATATAGATTATAAATAATACTTATTGAAAGTCACTCTTTTGAATGATTACCACTGGTTCGAAAAAAAAACCTCTGTCCTGAGAAGAACCAGCAAGAAACCCAGCGGGACTTTTTTTTTTAAATAACAGCTTACAATCATGTATGTTACACAAATTAACAACACAACAAATTAGAAATAGCTTGGTAGCGATCACCTCATTTCCAGGGGTTATTATCATCTATAAATTCATTAATATTATAATAACCCTTTTTATACAAACTTAGTTCAATAAAGTTTTTGAACTTTGAGCAGGTCAAATTTTGTATATTTTCTGGAATTTTGTTGTAAAAGCATATACATCGCCCCAAGAATGAATTACTGACTCGATGGAGTCGAGTAACTGGTACTACTAGCTTGTGTCTGTTCCTAGTATTTACAGAATGAATATCACTTATTTTTGTAAAACTACTTTTATTTTTGTGTACGTACATTACATTTTCATAAATGTATTGAGAGGCCAAAGTTAATATATTAATTTCCTTAAATTTTTGTCGCAGCGACTCTTTAGGCTTTAAATCATAAATTGCTCTTATGGCCCCCTTTTGTAAAACAAATATAACTTCAGTGTCAGCTGCGTGTCCCCATAGCAAAATACCATACGACATTATGCTATGGAAATAGCTAAAGTAAACTAGTCTAGCTGTTTCAACACTAGTTAGACTTCTAATCTTTTTTACGGCATATGCTGCAGAACTAAGTCTGCTTGCTAGTTTTGATATATGGGGGCTCCATTGAAGCTTCGCGTCTAGTGTGATTCCAAGAAAAATGGTGGTATCTACAAGACTCAGTTTCTCCCCATTTAAAATTACGTTAGTATTTAATTGTTTGACATTTGGAGTCATTAATTTCATACACTTCGTTTTAGTGCCATTTAAATGCAAATTATTAACATTGAACCAATTTACTAATTTAGATATAGCATTATTTACTTCGTCATATTTTAGCAATTGTCGACTTAATTTGAAAATTAAAGAAGTGTCGTCTGCAAATACTATATCATGGTTATCTCCTACTATGTAAGGTAAGTCATTAATGTATACAAGAAACAGAAAGGGGCCGAGAATTGAGCCTTGAGGCACGCCCATTTGTACCATCGACCCGGAAGAACTCATACCGTTAATGACAACTTTTTGCGTTCTCTTACTTAAATATGAAATATTAATTTAAGAGCATCACTTCTTACACCGTAGTGTTGAAGTTTCCTGATTAATGTTTCATATTGAACACAATCGAAGGCTTTGGATAGGTCACAAAATATACCCAAAGCATCCTGTGAATTCTCCCATGCATTAAATATATATTTAATCAGCTCAACACCGGCATCAGTTGTCGAGCGACCCCTTGTGAAACCAAATTGGTTTTTATGAAATAAATTATTTATATTAAAGAAATTTAATATTTGATCAAGAATAATTTTTTCAAAAATCTTACTAAGTGTTGGTAGTACAGAAATAGGTCTAAAATTGGCGGAGTCTAATGTACTACCAGATTTAAATAAAGGTATTACTTTACTATACTTCATTAAATCAAGAAACACACCAGATTCGATACTAGTATTAAAAATAATAGCTAAATGAGGCGCGATTGTATCTATTATAGACGCAATAACTTTAACGGAAATCCCCCACAGATCCGCAGTTTTCTTAACATCAATAGTTTTAAAATATTTTACAATATCTTTTGATGATACTTTATGAAATGCAAAATTCTTTGTACACGCATTTACATTTTGTTTAAGTAATGATTCGGCGACCGCAGGAGAAGAATTCAGTGACTTAGTGGTTAATATCGGAATATCAGTAAAATATTTCTCGAAAACCATTGCAACGTCCTGATCTGATTCGGTCAATTTGTTACTAACACTTAACTGGTAGTTTGAATTGCGAGAGTTGATCTTACCAGTTTCGCTATTAATTATACTCCATGTCATTTTAATTTTATTAGAAGCCGTCTTAATTTTGTTGCTCAAATGCAAAGACTTGGCTGTGGAGCACACTCTTTTAAATATTTTTGAATATTTTTTCACATATTCCCTAAATTCGACGCTATGATTATATGACCTTTTATGGTAAAGATCATATAACCTATGTCTGCCCCTATGGACTCCTACTGTCGCCCATTCATTAAATGACTTCCGACTGTTCAAGGAGAATATTTTAGAAGTAAAAGTATTATTAAATTCATTGCAAATAAGCTTAAATAATGTTCCATACAAAAAATTTGGATCATTTTGGTATGAAAGTGATGGAAGTTTTTTATCCATAGGTATATTGTTTTAGAAATTTTATAAACTTTAATTGTAATATCAATTGTAAAAAATTACATAAAAATATATACTTTGATTCTGATTCTGCTATCGCAGCTATTAATCGTGACTTACAACGTATATCACACTGGTCACAGCGCTTTGGTATAACGGTAAATCCCAATAAATGCCAGGCTATCCTCATCGGTAGTCGTCGATTGGTGTCACAACTTAACATATCTGAACTACCATCCATTTACTATGAAAACTGCGTTATACCCTCAGAACTAGTGTCAAGGATCTGGATTTAATTATCGACCCGTCTCTTAGTTGGATATCACAGGTGTCCGAGGTTTGTCGTAAAGTCACAGGCATACTTCGTTCCTTCTATCGCCTTTCTGCCTCTTTCAACTAAACGTCTTCTCCAATCTCCAAATCTCCAATCTCTAATTCTTCCATTATTTGACTATGTCGATGATTATCTAACTAATATTTCTCAGGAGCTGCTAAAAAAGTTGGACAGGTTACTTAACAACTGTATTCGATTCATCTTTGGCCTGCGCAAATATGATCACGTTTCAGAATTTCGCTCTCAGTTAAAGTGGTTGACTATACGCCAGTGTAGAGATTTCCGAATCCTGTCCACTCTGTTTCAGTTCTTAATGATCCTTTCTCACCCCTTTATCTAAAAGAAAGATTTCAATTCCGTAGTGACACTCATTCTCTCAATCTCCGTTCTTCACACAGTTTATTCCTGTCTCCTTTCCACCATTCTGGGTTTACGTCAAATTCTTTCATAGTTACTTCCATTACCCTGTGGAACAAATTGCCTGTTGACCTGCGAACAATACCTGTCAAAAATGTTTTTAAAAGAAAACTATATGAGCATAATATCCGTAGCCTACAAATTTGAGTCAACTTATTTTATATGTTTATAGTTATTTATATATACATTTATTGAGATATATATGTATAAATGTGTGCATTTATTTATATGTGTATATGAAATATATATATTTTATATTATATGAGTATATTTTATGTATGTGTTGCATGTATATATTTGAACTGAATTATATCATGACAACTTAACTAGCCAACTCACTCTCTGTTCTACCCAAGGTTAGCTGGTAGAGAATGCCATATAGCATTAAGCTCGCCTTTTGTACAAATATTTGGTGCAATAAAGAATTTTAAAAAAGATACATAACTAAGACGGAATGCCTCGTTTACAGTTAAAAAAGGGTCTCCTGTTCCTTCAGCCTTTTTAGTACTGCTAAACCCAGGTCTTTCCAAGGATTGGAAAGGAATTTCTAAACGGTGCTATATGGTATGCAAAACCTATAAGAGTTGCTCGTTCTCTGCATTCTAGGCATGCTTCTTGGCAATACTTGACTTGACGTGGCCATGAACTGTAGTATCCACTTACCGTAGGTGGACCGTTTGTTCGCTTGTCACTTCAGTTTTATAAAAAAGAACACTGTAACCAATTAAATGAAAGCATGTTGGATCATACTCATAGCTGTACGAGCTGTGATCCCTTTGCCTTCCTACTCGGAAAAAATATAATAACAAAAAATCTCACGAATTTCGACCAAAGGCAATACTGGTTAAATGAAACACTTTAGTTTTTAAATCACTTTAATAACTAGAAGCACAAAACTAAAAGAACAAGGACCACCACAACACCAGCGCTGTACCCGAACGCCACTCCAGCGTTACATCCGTCTGTGAAGCACTGGCATACAGTCTCCAGGTGATCCTCATTGTCGGCCTTGTAGCAGTCGCGTGGGTGCCTCACCCAGCCACAGCCGCGTGTCACGCGTACCTCAGGATCGTGGCCCTTATGAAGAACTGGAAGTTAATGGCACAATTATTTTTGATAGTTACTTTCATTACATTTATCTATTTTACAGGCTCAGGGTTGTCAGGGAGAATTTTACAAAACACCTACATAAAAACCCAGTGACCAGTACATAAGAACCCGGGACCGCATGTTCAGCAGTTGCGCCTACGACTTCTAGACCAACAAAGCAGTCCACTGTACTCAACTCGTAGACCATTGACAGATCTTTGACTACATCTGCCAACAGGCTGCAGATGTAAAAACGTCTGGCAGCATGCCGTAATAACTTAAATAAAAAAAAACCAAAACAAAAAGAGCTGATGACCGGGGAATAACCACGCTCTCACATAATACCAGAGTGAAATAACAGCTTTACACTGCTGTGTTTCGTATGATGAGTGTCGAGTACTGGAGACCCTTTTTGCTGGAAAAGAGGCATTCCATCTTAGTGACAACGCATCTGCATTTTGATTCGTAATCGAGGATAGATTTGAAAGTCTATGGGCCATAGCAACCATTTATCGTCAGGTGGACTGTGTGCTCGTTTGTCACCCTTATCACAGCTAAGAACATTCTCGATTATAACACCTGTCAAAAAAAAACTTATTCAAAATAGTTTCATATGTTCAGTAGTTATGATGCCACAGACAGACACATACTACAACAACTTTTCGTCGGGGGTTAAAAAAGGATAACAAGCGAATTTACAGTTCACCTGATGGTAACCGGCTATTGCAGTCAATCGACACCTGCAGAAAAATAAAGAAAGCTACAGATGCGTTGTCACATCTAAAGACTAATATGAATGCCGAATGAAGAATTCTTAGTAGAACCCTTCTGCAGCTACACTATGGTTGTAGCATTAATAGGTCAGTTCGACTGGGGTAGGACCTCGCTCTCACAGAACTTAATGCTGCTGTGTTACGTATGGTGAGTGTAGAGAACCGGAGACCCTTGTTACTGGAAACGAGGCATTCCATCTTAGTCCTTAGGGCTGACAACGCATCTGCATTTTGAATCTTAATCGAGGATAAATGTAGATGCCTATGCAGTTAAGTATCCACTTCATGTGTGTTCTTTTGTCATCCATATTCTATAAAAAATGCCTTACAGCTTGTAATTATACTGGCTCTCTATGCGCTTTTTTTTTTCTTTTTTTTAAACGTTACCCCCACACTAGGATTTTCTCCTGTATCGTGGAGGCGGTTTACAAACACAAATTGCACAAGGACAAACATCCAGACCCGGAACAATTATTTGTAGGCCGTACAAATTATTGTTCCGTGCGGGATTCGAACCCGCGGCCCCCAGCGCAGCAACTCATTGCTAAGCCACTGCGCCACGAAGCCGTCAACAATTTGGACAGGAATACAGTAATGCAAGCACTTAAAATCCGTAAAGACCCGATTTATGGGTCACATGGTAATCCTCAGCGCAACAACTCTACGATAGACCTCCTTTTCTGCCTGAGTCCGTCTGAGTACCATACTCTCACCTATTTATGCTGCCTAATAGCAGTTTCTGACTGCCTTGTTGGTCTAGTGGTTGTAGTAGTGCGACTGCTGATCATGAGGTCCCAGGTTCGCATCCCGGGTCGGGCCAAAAAAAAATAGTTATTGAGTTTTTCCATCAAGAAATTCTCAGTAGCAGCCCGGAGTCAGGAAGTTGGCGGTGTCTCACCCCCGTGCCTCGGAAAGCACGTAAAGCCGTTGGTCCTGCGCCTGATCTCTCTCCGGTCGTGTCGGTTTACCTTCCCATCGGACTATGAGAGTGAGGGAGTAGAGAGTGCACCTGTGCTTGCGCATACACTTGAGCACTATAATCCTGTCCTGCGCCGATGGCTAGTCTCCGTTTAGACTGGCCGCCGTGACCGAAATTCGGTCTGAAGGACATTAATAGCAGTTTCTAAACTTGTTTTCCTGTGTTCCATTCTGAAGTGTATAGAGAGCCAGTATAATTACTTGCTTTGAGGTGGTAGTTCACTTTAGTACTCAACGGTGGCAACGTATATGATGCTTTCTTTGTTTGAATTTGGTTGGAGGTGACCATGGACAGCAGTAGCCTCTTACTATCAAGTAGACTGTAAGTTGATATGTCACTTGATTTATAAAAAAAAGGCAATAGGTAAATAACCTACCTTTTAAATACTGGCTAGTTTGAATTTATCGATGTTTTAAATGAAGATATTGATCTTACATTCGCCTTAGAATTCCAAATTTAAAATAATGTCGTCTTGCGTAATATTTTAATAAAACATTATGTAGGTAGCTAGTTCATTTGTTTTCTCATAATGCTGAGTCTGCTTTGTGACCATGAAAAAAAAAATAACGAGCCTGATGGGCGGCCGGATTCCGATCGCCGGATATGACAAATTCAAAGCAATCATATAAGCGGATTAATCTCAAATCACGGTAGATTTAGTGGCACACTTCAATGTATGGTATTAATTTATTTGCGGTAAATTGGGAAAATAATGGTCGGGAAGTGGGTAATTTAGTGAAGGCAATAGTATTCTCACGGCGGAGCTCAGGGAAGTAGAGCTATGATAGCTCAGGGACTAAGCGCTCGCGGTAAATTTCGTTGTACCGTTATACGCAACCAGAATTCCACAGAAATCGTTAATTGCATTTTTTTATTTAGATTTATCTGCTAAGGTTAATGATAAGTAATATAGAAAAGGCCCATTTCCAGCTGCAGATTTTTTATAGTGTACATCATTTACAGATCGGTAATGTCAGATGGTAATGTCAGCTGTGGTAGCTCAGATGTTTGGCGCTCGTTGTAAGTTTCACAGTACGCGAGCAACCCGGGCACCAATGAAATTTTTAATTGCAATTATAAGTGCTAATTTATCCCATACTCGGCGGTGAAGGAAAACATCGCGAGGAAACCCTGCATGTCTGAGAAATAAGAAAAAAATATTTCGAAGGCATATGTGAAGTTCGCCAACACGCATTGAGGCAGCGCGGCGAACACTTCCTTACTCTAAAACCCTCTCAGAAATGAGAGGAGGCCTGTGCCCAGCGGTGGGACGTATATAGACTGTAACTTTAACTTTTTTAACTTTAATGTCAAATGTCTGTGGTAAATGCAGTGTTGAAAGCCGTTGGCGGCGGCGTTTATTTTCATATATTTTTTTAAATAGAATTAAGGGTAAAAAAAGACGAGCATGCCCATATGTTCGTTTATAATAAGGATATCATGCCAGTACAGAGCTAGTTTAATATTCGGGTTCACTTTTGTACGCATCTGTTATAATTTTTTACAGAATATGAGTGACAAACGAGTACACAGGCCGCTTGATAGTAAGTGGATGCTGTCGTCTATAGACATCTACATCTATCCTCGATTAATAATTAGATTCAGAAGCGTTGTCACCCCTGAGATCTCATTTGGAATGCCTCGGTTCCTGTATAGAGGATCTCCGGTTCTCTACACTCACCATACGAAACACAGCACTGCTTGAAGGTTATTTTACGCTGGTATTTTGTGACAGCGGGTTCCTTCCCCGGTCGAGATGACCCGTTCCTGCTACAACTATAATATAGCTAGCTCCAGCGTGGCTCTAACACGTATATGTAGTTGAAATGAGGTACACCATGCTATTACGCTTGAAAAGGAATGTACTTTTAAACCCCGCATACAAAAATAAACTGCGGTAGTATTATTCTTTGCCAATCGATTTTAGAACAAACTAGTTTTACTAGGCTAAACTAGTTCTTCATAAGTCCGACAGGATCAAGTATATTATGTCCGGCTATGGACAGGATCGAGTAGATACCAGTCGTATCGCAACCTACTGACGCTGATATTAGAAATGATAATAATGTTCTCCAGATCGAATTTCGGTCACGACGGCCAGTCTCAACGGAGACTAGCCATCTGCGCAGAACAGGATATAGTACAGGAATGTATGCGCAAATACAGGTGCACTCTGTATTCTCTCACTCTCATATACCGATAGGACGGCAAGCCGACGCGACCAGAGCAGAGAGAGATCAGGAGAGGCACCAACGGCTTTACGTGCTTTCTAAGGCACGGGGGCGAAACTCCGCTAACTCCCTGACTTCGAGCTGCTACTGATAATTTCTTGATAGAATAACTCAATAATTGATTCTGTTGGACCAACTCGGGATTTGAACCCGTAACCTCACGATCAGTAGTCGCGTTTACGAACACTAGATCATTGAGACAGTCTTAGTAACTTATATAATTTTGATGGCTCCGTGACGCAGTGATTTTGTATATAGTAGCTGTGGTGGGGGCCGCGGTTTGGAAGTCCGCACGGAACAAATATTTGTATAACGTACAAAAGGAGTTTTTTTTAACGTTTTGCCAAAAAATAAGAAATTAGAAATATCAGTGATAGTAACTAGTTTAGGTTCGGTTGGGTGGGTTGAAATTTAGGTACGGACCTTTTTTTTTGTATGGGGAAATGTTTACGCACACAAGCGTTCCACCTTTGACGCATACTGGCAGGGCCCATTCCAACAATTTCGAAAATAGGATTTTTTTTTAAATTGAATAAGGGTGATAAGCGAGCACACAGTCCACATAAATAAAATTAAAACCCGAACTAAAAAGAATACAGTCATCTAAATAGACTGACGTGGTAAAGAATTATTCGCCCATATTATGTCGTGCCTTTGTAATTTGAAGTTGGATGCTTCTGTTTAACCCCTGAGGTTTTGTACGTGGTAGAGCCATGCTGCAGCTATATTAGTAGTATAGTTGTAGCACGAATGGGTCTGCTCGACCGAAGACCACGCTCTCACAGAATACCAGCGTAAAATAGCAGCTTAACACTGCTGTGTTTCGTATGGTGAGTATAGAGAACCGGAGACCCTTTTTACTGGAAAAGAGGCATTCCATCTTAGTCCTCACGGCTGACAACGCATCTACATTTTAATTCGCAAACGAGGATAGATGTAGATGTCTATGGGCCACAGCTACCACTTAACATCAGGTGGGCTGTGTGCTCGTTTGTCACCCTATCCTATAAAAAAAAGTGGCCTCCTTTTTGAAGCCGGTTTAAAAGACATGTAGCTTTAGAACTGTATGTCTTAATTTAACAACGGGTCCTATGAATGCTTAAATTATCGGGCTATCAGAAACCTAAGTGACCTCGATAATTACTTCTTGTTCATTTATCTTAGCATATTACTAACATAAACTACTCTTTATCTCCGGACGACATATGCGTTATAAATAAAATAAAATCTTCGTTTGCTATTACAGTTTGCGATGACCTATGTTGATGTTTATTAACGTCGGAATTACAGGAAATATTATTAAATAGATAATAGGCTAGGGTTCTATATAAATAAAAATCAATTGCTACGTGTATGAAAGATTATCACTTGAGAACGATTGGAGGATGAATTTTTTTGTGTGTGTTTGAAAGGATCCCTGGATGCTTTAGATTAACAATTGTACCCGATAGATGGCGCCGTTGTTGTCTAGAAATCAGCCGTGCGAAGCGGACCGGATCGAAGCCGCGGTGGAGCGTTAGTAATCAATAAAATAAATAAAATTGAAGTGTCTGTTTGTAATGTCAAAATTATAGATTTTACTAAATGCATATGAAAGTATATACGGTACTAATAACTATAATAAAATTTTTGAAGTTTTTGTCTGTCTGCCTGTCTGTCCGTCTGTCTGTATGTTTGTACCGGCACATCTCTGAAACGGCTGGACCGATTTTGATGGGACCTTCACTGGCAGATAGCTGATGTCATAAAGAGTAACTTAGGCTACTTTTATTTTAGAATAATAATTAGGGTTCCTCGCAAAACAATTAAAACCCTAAATTACACGCGGGCGAAGTCGCGGGGAACAGCTAGTTAATAAATAAAGTTGCAGTCTTTATACGTCCCACAGTTCCCACAGCTGGGTACAGATCTATGATTTCTGGCTGAGTTAACGAGCAATTAGACCGCACTGCTTTGGTGTGCGCAGGTGGACTTAATTTCTAATCATCCATTATAAAAATCCACTGCTGAACATAGACCTCCCCATAAATTGCTTCATAGCAATTTATGGGGAGGTAGAAATATATGGCGTAATCACCCACGCTATAGTTTAGTAGATTTAACGACGATTTTCGACTGGAAATATCTTCAAATTTGTCAACGAATTACAGATTAAAAATTATTTCTTATCCAGCTTTGTCTATCAACAAGAGTTTCCATCAGTATGAAGAGGATGTTAATATCACAATGAGTGTATAATCTGTTTTTAATTAGCCGACACTGTCGGAAACCCGGCATCATTATCCGATACGCGGTCCGCCGGGTAACTCGTCCAAACCGGGTACCCAATTCATCTCTCGTCTGTTTACTGAACGTATGAGACTTTGCTTTGACAAGCCATAACCGCCCTTCTGACGTAATGTAGATGACCTTGGCGGCTATAAGGATGCGAGATGGAATAATATCCATCTCCCTCGCACTTTTTAGTCGTTATTGCAACGAATATGCAACAAGTTTTTTTTTATAGGAGATGGGGCAAACGAGCATGCGGCTCACCTGATGGTAAGTGCGGCTGTAATTAGTCCGAACAATTCCTCAGAGCAATCCCCGTGATATATGCGATAAAATACGCAGAGAGATGCAACATCTCTTCGCAGTGCTAGTGAAACGAGGCTATCGGAAAGGACTCGGTCGTCGACGATTCGATCCGCTTTGCGCTGGATGCGGTAAAGTGGAAGGAGCTGGCACTGCAGAGCCCCAGCCCAGAGATGGTAACTGTTTTCCATGTCAGGCCGAACCTGCGCCTTGTAAAGTTACAGGCGGTGTGCCGACATGGAAAACTGTCCCGCTCTGCTTAGCACACCAAACTTTTTAGAGGCCAATTTGTCCTTCTCTTCCAAGTGACTACGAAACTGCACGTTACTCGATATGTCGACGCCGAAGATTCCGATACTGGCTGAGGCAATAAGGGGAGTGCCTTGAAACTGAGGAGATACGACAAAGGGGTTCTTTTCAGCGGTAAACGCGAAAACTTGTGTCTTCTGAGGATTAAACTGGACTAGATTTTGTCGCCCCCAATCCGAGACGTTGTTCAGCAAAGTCTGGACTTCAGGCACAAGTTTGTTCCAGTACTCGGCGACGTTTTTCCGAGAAATATTTTACAACTACTAATACACTACAACTGTTCCATCTAACACATATAAAAATATAGTGAGTAAAAAGAAAAAATGAGATGTAGATATTACTGATTTTATAATAATTATATAGCAAATTATTTATTACCAACAATGCAATAGTTATAAAGTCTACTGCTACTGCTACTACTACTACTACTACTGCTACTGCTACTGCTACTGCCACTACTACTGCTACTGCTACTACTACAGCAACAGCTACTGCTACTGCTCCTACTACTACTACTACTACTACTACTACTGCTACTACTACTACTACTGCTACTGATACTGCTACTGCTACAGCCACTACTACTGCTACTGGTACAGCTACTGCTACAGCTGCAGCTACTGCTACAGCTCCTACTACTACTACTACTGCTACTGCTACTACTACTACTGCTACTGCTACTGATACTGCTACTGCTACAGCCACTACTACTGCTGCTGGTACTGCTACTGCTACAGCTGCAGCTACTGCTACTGCTCCTACTACTACTACTACTGCTACTGCTACTACTACTACTACTGCTACTGCCTACTACTACTGGTACTGCTACTGGTACTGCTACAGCTATTGCTACTGCTCCTACTACTACTACTACTACTACTGCCACTACTACTGCTACTGGTACTGCTACTGCTACAGCAACAGCTACTGCTACTGCTCCTCCTACTACTACTACTACTACTACTGCTACTGCTACTACTACTGCTACTGCTACTGCTACAGCCACTACTACTGCTACTGGTACTGCTACGGCTACAGCTGCAGCTACTGCTACTGCTCCTACTACTACTACTACTACTACTGCTACTACTACTACTACTACTGATACTGCTACTGCCACTAGTACTGCTACTGGTACTGCTACAGCTACAGCTACTGCTACTGCTCCTACTACTACTACTACTACTACTACTACTACTGCTACTACTACTACTACTACTGATACTGCTACTGCCACTAGTACTGCTACTGGTACTGCTACAGCCACAGCTACTGCTACTGCTCCTACTACTACTACTACTACTGCTATTGCTACTACTACTGCTACTGCTAAATACTACAAAAAATTACTTTAACATTGTAGTGGTATGTTCCGTCCTCCTCCCAGTAGTGTAATTAATACATGTACACCTAGTTTAAGTGAGGAGTAATAAAGAGATATTGTAACGAGACAGTCGTTTCTATTGGTCCAATCACCACAAATTACATGTCACGTTTGCGAATTATGAGTAGGTACGTTATCTCTGTTTGGGGGCATCAGTAAATAATATTTATGTACGTTTTTGTGTACCAATACTGATACTAATAATGATGACAGACTATGCACTGGGGGTGGCAAATCGTTCCAGCATTTTGAGGCTGCGTATCTAAAGCTATCCCGAAATTACTGAATATCACAGCTTGGAACTTTTAAAATTATGTATACCTAATATAAAAAACAAAAATAAAAAAGACGTAGAATACGAACTGGTTTGTACGATCTTCCTGCAGAAAAAATCCTTATTCCCAGCTGAATAGACTCCTGTTTCGCAGTTTGTTGTGCCAAGGAACCTCATCATTGTTTCCTGGTCGTAAATCGTGGGGTCGAGACACATAGAATTGTTAGCGCTGGTGCATTCGTAACAGCGGATGGTCCTGGCTGGCGAGTGAAAGTAAAGTAAACAATAATGTTTAGTTTTTTTTTTAATTTATTCTTTAATGTAGAACAAGGCCTACATAAAATAGACTATGTTTAAAACTCAGATGAAGAACTAAAGATAGATGGAACAAATCTAATCCAAAACCATGCTCAACTTATTTAATTTTCAACAATTAAGAAGGAAGGAAGGAGAAAGATGTACCAGCGTAAAATAGTAGCTTAATGCTGCTGTGTTTCGTGTGGTGAGTCTAGAGAACGGGGAACCCTTTTCTGCAGACTTCCAAAAAGGAGACGGTACTCAATTCGACTTTATTTTTTTTATGTGCGTTACCTCATAATTTTTTACTGGGTGAACCGATTTCGTTTCTTTTTTTATTTGAAAGCTGGTACTTCTCGTGTGGTATATGAATTTGATCAAGGTCAGGCCAATAGTTTTTGATTTATTCTTAATAACTTATATTGAAGTCGGCTGTACAAATTTTTTAATTTTAAATTATTAATGGAAACGAGTCACAACGCATCTGCATTTTAATTCTTAATTGAGGATAAATGTAGATGTCTATGGGCCATAGCATCCACTTACCATCAGGTGGACTGTGTGCTCGTTTGTCACCCTTATTCTATAAAAAAAAGACGTGTGCGTGAGTTCGTGTCGAGCATGGTTTCGGCGTCACTCAATGTCATGCACTAAACAGTGCTCCATCTATCTCCTTTATTGGTCTGTGGTTAGGAAAAAAGGCCGCCTCGCCGTGGTCGAAAAATCGAGCTAACATTTCAGATTTTAAAACAAATCCGTAAATGTATGTAAATATATTGATTTAATAGTTTTAGAGCTTCACCATCGAATTTTAGATCACTTAGGTCAATTGCAACAAAAGCACTTTATGTAAATTACTTACTCTAGCGCTCAGAAATCTGTTCTCTTTCCGAGCAGCTTCTAATAAAATATGAAATGTTGTTTTGGTTTAATCATTCAATAGAATCAGTTGTTTCATTCTCGTTATTACTGCAATTATTTATTTTAATTTAGAATTTTTAAACTGTATATTGTATAAAAACAAAAGATACTTCCACATTAATGTAGTTATTATTAATATATACAAAGACAACTTGTGATTGTAATTATCGTGTATACTATGACACATATATTATAGACTTCTACGGCGTTATGTACCTACACAATGATGATAACTACCGTCTTTTTCAGTCTTCACTGGCTTTGATAAGTATTTATAAAACTATATAATATACTGAACGGATAAAGATTTTAATTTCTTTATTTAATGTAGATAACTATTATTATTTGAATTGTAATACGGTGACCTAAGATACTTTGACAATTAACAAGCATTATTTTAAAAACCCATTTATTCGACCATAAATTAAGTTGTAATTAGATTTTAAATGTTATTCTACTTAATTTATGGTCTAAAATATTAATAAGACTATTGACTTACCATATTTAATGCAACTAAACAGTAAAAACATGGGGAGAAAAGTTTTTATCAACATATTTACGTTTTAATAATATTAAAGGTAATAAAACATTAAAGTAAAGCAAAAGCAGTACCGAAGTGGCAACTGTGTTTCTCAAACTGTTGCCGCTGAGCCGCCATTGAATAAAAGCTGTGGGTCATGTTAATGCGGTGACAATACGTTTCCTTATTCTGGAAAGTTATAAGTTTATTTAAAACGAATTAAGTATCAATAATTAAATTAAAATTATAATTTATTATAAATATAAAATATACATTAATACTATTAATTGAATGTTTGACATATTCAAGTAATTTTTAAAGTACATGTTCCCATAACTTATACCGACTGGAATGTAAATTATTCATTCATTTATTACAGCCTAATCCATGAAAAGTCGCCTGTCAAACATAGGCCTCCACTATAAATGATCCAGGACTTTTGGTCTGCCACACCTGCTTGTGGTGCCACCCTGGTGGCAGACCAGGATGGCGCCACTTAAAAATGAAGGGTAATATTTGATAGATATTTTATAGCAGGGAAGTTAATTAGTACGAAAAAAACGTTTTACGTGGTAGAGGTATGCTGCAGCTATATTAGTAGTATAGTTGTAGCACGAATGAGTCGGCTTGACCGGGGAAGCACCACGCTCTCACAGAATACCAGCGTAAAATAGCAGCTTAACGCTGCTGTGTTTCGTATGGTGAGTGTAGAGAACCGGAGACCCATTTTACTGGAAAAGAGGCATTTCAAAATGCACTTTACTGAGGATAGATGTAGATGTCTATGGGTTACAGTAACCACTTACCATCAGGTGGACCGTGTGCTCGTTCTCACTCTATCCTATAAAAAAAAATTGTTATATTTATATTAATTACATCAAAAATAAATAGACCAAGCACACATATTCATGAAAGTATAAAAATTAAAAAGTAATCCGCAATTAAAGAATGTCATGTTTTGGTCATATTTTGAGATATTTCTTCTTTACAAAAGTATTAAATCATGTTCCTCTATATTATACGTTTTGAAAAATCTTTGATTCTGAATAATAATCATTTTATCCTTAACTAGAGATCTGTCCCGGCTTCGCACGGTTGATTTCTGGTTGTCGATAACAACGCCACCTACTGGGTCCAATCGTGAATCTTAACCATTCTCTAATTAACTTAATTATACACACAAAATTTCATCAAATTTAGTCTAGCCAATTAGAAGTTCAGTTCAGTTCACATACACAAGGACAGAAGAATTATATAATATTTATATATGCATATACATATAAAGTTATTAAGTTTTCTTTTGTTTACTGATGGAAACCGCATTTAAATCCGTTGCGTAGTTTAAAAGATCTAAGCGTACAGACTGCGGTAAGTGACTTTGTTTTATACTTTTTTTTTCTCCCTCGCACAACTTCTCTGTGGAATCAATTACCACCAGCGAATTTTCCGAACCGATACGACTTAGGAACCTTCAAGAAAAGAGCTTACACCTTTCTAAAAGGCCGGCAACGCATCTGCAATTCCCCTGGTGTTGCGGTTGTTCATGGGCGGCGGTGGTCACTTACCATCAGGTGAGCCGCATGCTCGTTTATTCTATAAAAAAAATACTGTGTAGAGAAAATCTAGCCATATAATAATAGGAAGCAAATTTCTTGATTAAGCTGTCTGGGGTGAACCAGCAAGTCAGGACAAAGTTTGTATAATTAGATAAAACTGATAGGATAATTCAGTTTTTCTTTTAATTATACGTTATATTTTGAAGAGAAAGGAAGTGGATCAATATAAAATTATTATTTCGGTATATAGATTTTATTGACTATATTATAACTTATAATTTATAAACTAGATTATAATTATCTTAGTCTTTCAGAATCAGATCAGGCAAACATACGCTTTCGAGGTTATGCCCTCCAACTTTTTATCGTGATAAATATTGCCAACACAATACCAAGAATTGTCGTTTTGACATATTCGAATACATTTCCCGCATTGCACATATCCCCGAAACACTGGCACACTGTCTCCAAGTGGTCTTCATTGTCTGCTGTGTAACACTCCCGCTTGTGTTTCACCCATCCACAGCTCCTGGTTATACGGATTTCTGGAGTTTGCTCAGGATGCAGAACTGCAAATAAGTTAAAAATAACTTTAGAAAAAATCCCACGCTCAACATACAGTATCCTCATTTCTTTTGAGCTGATAAATTGTATCGGTATCACCAGTTGCCCATAGACTGGTGATTATTACAGACCTATGTGCTTTTAGGTTTAACCTAATGTGATAAGAATTCAACTTCATCATAATCTCTTCAAACCACCGCTCTAATATGTCGTAGCTGACTGAGTCTGGTATAAAATAGCATATCTTTCGGTCTATGAATGCACATTTTACTTAGTAAAAGTTAAAAAAGTTAAAGTTCCAGCCTATATAATTTATATACGTCCCACTACTGGGCACGGGCCTTATCTTATTTCTGAGAGGGTGTTAGGGCAAGGAAGTGTCAGCCGCGCTACCCCAATGCGTGTAGACGAACATCACATGTATTCAAAATATTCTTATCTTATTTCTCAGACATGCAATTTTCCTCGCAATGTTGTCCTTCACCGCCGAGCACGTGGTAAATCGGCACTTAAAATTGCAAGTAACAATTTCATTGGTGCTGGCGGGGATAGAACTTGGTAGAGTAACGCTAAACTATAGGTAATATGAACTTAGACTAAATTTACGAGAAAACTATCACGAAACAGTAGTATAGTTGTAGCAAGAATGGCTCGGCTCGACCGGGGAAGGACCACGCTCTCACAGAATACCAGCGTAAAATAGCAGCTTAAAACTGCTGTGTTTTGTATGGTGAGTGTAGAGAACCGGAAACCCTTTTTACTGGAAAAGAGGCATTCCATCTTAGTCCTCACGGGTGACAACGCATCTGCATTTTGATTCGCAAACGAGGATAGATGTAGATGTCTACTAGCCACAGCAACTACTTACCATCAGGTGGACTGTGTGCTCGTTTGTCACCCTATCCTATAAAAAAACATTACAATTAACTTTTATAGTAATTAATATATGTACATGATATAACTAACTAAATTAACGCTATCTGTTGTGACAACATTACATTGCATTCAAGGAAAATATTTACGACACTCGTTAAATTTCTTTCACCAATTTTCAATTTTATGACATACACAATTATATACAAACATGTTTTTTCATATTATAAAGTGCATAACATACAAGTTTAAAACTACTCCTTTGTAAAGGCACATAGTCCTTGTAGTCCAATTAATGATTCCAGAGTGTAATTTAGGTACAATCAGGGCTTTAAGTAAAAGTAATTGTTGAAATAATCGTTTTACTAGACCCTAGCGGTTTTTACTTATTCTGCTAACTGTATTGAGATCGTTTCTGCATCGCACGATATTTACAGAATATAACTCTTAATACACGCACAGTTAACTTTTGGCTGATTATGTTTCATTCATCGTGTCATGTGAATGAATTAGATGACTTTTATGATGTATGTATGCTTTAATTTTGTATGCAAAATACGAATAGGTATACACACTATTTACATTTATATATAATAATTATATATGAATAAAATTGAGTAATGAAAATTGAGTAGAGTAATATCGAAATAAATGCCTTTTATTAGGCTGAGGGGGTTTATTTGCATGTCATTAAGATATGAATAACAATTTTATATTAATAAATTCGTCTGTCTGGGCCAACTTTAGGAATAGCTGAATCGATTGTTATGAAACTTTACAAACAGATAGAGAGCAGTGCCAGGAGTGATTTAAGCTACATTTTATCCGAAAAACTTGAATATTGAAAGTTGATAAAATAAATGGCCTGAATGCAATCATTATTTTAAAAAATCTAAGTGAGTCGGGGCGAGTCGCTAGTAAACAATAATATCACATCTGTATTATAATTACGTAAAAAATGGAAAGTTATAATTATGTAACTTTGTTTAATCTTTAGTGATGCTTACAAAATTTTGCAATGGTTTATTTTCGATTTTTTATATTTATTATACGTAGTAGAGTGGACCCATGCTGCAGCTATTTTATAGCTCTGTTATAATATGTGTGCTATAGCACGAATGGGTCAACTCTACCAGGGAAGGACCACGCTCTCACAGAATACCAGCGTCAAATGCTGCTGTGTTTCGAGTAGTGAGCGTAGATACACGTGGGTGACTGCATTTTGATTCTTAATTGACGATAGATGTAATGTCTATGGGCCACAGCATCCACTTACTATCAGGTGGACTGTATGCTAGTTTTTCACTCCTATTCTATATAAAAGAGATAAATCACTATATTATTTATATTATAATATAATTTTAAGATGATATTATACCTATAACTCAAAAATGTTACCAACTTGATTATAGACATAGGTAGATCTAAACTACCAATCCACTTTGGGATTAAGAGTCATTTAGGTCCATAAATATTAAATATAGAATTAGTTAAAACTTGCATACCAGCGCTACCTATCGGATCTTAGCATAGTTAAGAACCATCGTCTCGCCAAAACAAATTTATAGTGTGTATATAATATTTAAAACCTAATTATTATGAGACAATCTATGGGGGAGACCTCACAGTGGACTTTTGTGTCTGTCGTAACCAGCTACCAACAACGCCAGAAAAATTTCAATGCCTATGGTCGTGTACGGATACTGTGCAACATTGAAATGATTCCGTAATACCGTTGTTTTGGCATAGATGTCGTTATTAAATTCTGCAAAAGTAGGAAATATGTATACAATATGATATAACATGTATATGATGTAACAAAAACCCTGTGGTTACCGTTAAGTGCGTTATCAGGATCATTATTCAAACGTATAGAAATAACTTTTTTTAAAAACTCGAACAATATTTTTTTAATTTTATTTAAAAAAATAATGGTATGCATATTGTATATGGTTTTATTACCTCTGCATTGTTTGGGGAGTAAGAGGATTGTCAAAGACCCCGCTTTACTTAGCTTTAGCATCGGCTAGTGTCAGTAAGAGTTAATACGAGTACAACCACATAAAATAAAAAAAAATAAGGTCTAATTAAAAAAAAATATTTCTATAGGTTTGAATACTGATCCTGATAACCTACTTAACGGGAACCACAGGGTTTTTGTTACATGTTGTATATTTTTTTCAATTACTTTTCTTCATTTTCTTTAAAAAAAATTGCATATTTACGACATTATTTTCACATTATTCATTATCGCTTGTTTATGGTTTATTTTTTATTTTTTTATTTTAAGGAACCTTTATCCTATAGATACTAATAGGCCAGATCCATCATACATCCTTGTTTTATGTAACACAACTCATACCACTCATACCTTATGTTTTTAGCAAAAAACTAACATAATATTTTAGTAATATTTTGTATAGAACTACTATTTGCATGGCCTATAGATTCAAGAAAAAATCCCTACCTGCGTTGTTTGATCTCGTTATTATATATTATGTAGATCTATATTTGCAATTTATCAGTGACACTGACGTCTTGAATGACCCTTCCAATGTTTAAATATAATGTATCCAATATTTCTAGGATAACTATAATTTTTTTTTAAATAATTTATATATTTTAACTCTAATAGAACATATAATAGAATAATATAATTAAAGAATATCCTCTACTCCTTATCATCCGGTGGGCGTCGTAAGAGGCGACAGAGGAAAACTGCTACAGGAGATGGGCAGCAGCATTTTCCTTGATAAAAAACGAAAATAACAAAATACTGTGGTCAACCCGCCCGTCATTCATGGTCAAATATATCAAAATGTATGAGGCAGTCCATTGGGGAGGCCTATATTCAGCAGTGGACTTTCGATAAACTGTAATGAATGAAAAATTAAAAAATAGCACAGCAAAATTAATTATTAGTGTTGTGCATACCTCCATAGGCAAAAGCACACTGTCTAATGTTGCCATATATGAATATTGTCTTAATTGTTTTTTTTATAGGATAAGGTTGACAAGCGAGCACACAGTCCACATTATGGTAAGTGGTTGCTGCGGCCCATAGACATCTGCATCTATCCTCGTTTGAGAATCAAAATGCAAATGCGTTGTCAGCCGTGAGGACTAAGATGGAATGCCTCTTTTCTAGTTAAAATGGTCTCCGGTTCTCTACACTCACCATACGAAACACAGCAGCATTAAGCTAAGCCGCTATTTTACGCTGGTATTCTGTGAGAGCGTGGTCCTGTCCTTCCCAGGACGAGCCGGCCCATTCGTGCTTCAACTATACAATTAATATAGATGCAGCATGGCTCTACCACGTACAGTGTTATATTTCTTGTACTATTGTTTATTGTGGGGGTATACCGCTGTTGTCTTAAAAATAAATAAATAATGTGTATCAACAAAATAAATGTTTTAAATATCATCAACAGCTTAAAAATTTCAACATTTTTAAAGGGATCTTTTGTTAATAGTTGTTTCTTTAACTTACTTAAACTTAAACGTACAAAGTTAAAGGGAAAAGTGAATAGTACAGTGTACTCACTAGTTTGAACCATCTTCCTGCAAAAGAATTCCTTGCTCAAAGAATTTGGGAGTGCTTCGGCGCAGTCCACTATGGGCACAATTGCGTGCATTTTGCGTAAGTGCATATCCAAACATGCCGAGTTGTTAGCGCTGTTACAGTCAAAACATTTTATTGCACTACCTGAAAAAAATGGATCATTGCTACAATAAGACATCGTTAGTTAGCTTCTTCTTATGTGACTTGTATGTATTTTTTAATAAAATTGAAATGGTACGTGGTAGAGCCGTGCTGCAGTTATATTAGTAGTATAGTTGTAGCACAAATGGGTCGGCTCGACTGGTGTAAAAATATCCACTACCCCATATCGTGCCGTGGGTGTCATAGTGTCATAAGAAGCGACGGAGGGAAATACTTAGAGATGGGCAGCAGCGTCTTCTTAAAAACAACTAAAAAAATTTAAAACTGCGGTGTCAAATCAGCATTCAAAGCGAGACATCTGTGCCAAATATTCCCCCTATGAGGCAATTTATGGAAGAGGTCTATATTCAGTAGGGGACTATTTATAAGCTGTAATGGTAATATTTTTTTTATAGGATAGGGTGATAAACGAGCACACAGCCCACCTGATGGTAAGTGGTTGCTGAAACTCATAGACATCTACATTTATCCTCAATAAATAATCAAAATGCAGATGCGTTGTCACCCGTGAGTACTAAGATGGAATGCCTCTTTTCCTGTAAAAAGGGTCTCCGGTTCTCTACACTTACCATACGAAACACAGCAGTGTTAAGCTGCGATTTATGCTGGTATTCTGTGAGAGTGTGGTCCTTTCTTAGTCGAGCCGACCCATTCTTGCTACAACTATACTCTAATATAGCCGCAGCATGGCTCTACCACGTAAAAAGATGGTGCCGCATATATAGCTGCAGCGTGGCTAAATAAATAATGTATTAAAATAAAGGCTATAAAATTAAACAGTTTAAATAATTCAGATACTTACAATTGTTTGCAAAAAACATTGGTAACAATACACTAAGTACAAGTTGATTTCTTCGTGTTGCTTGCATTTTATTTAAATTCCTGCTCCTGACGGTTAAACTCGTTGAATGTCACTGTTGTGGATTGCTATTAAATTTTTTAGGCGTTTTGAATTTCTCAAAATAAAAACAATAATATAATAACAGAAACCAAAACAAATTATGAACAAGTTAATTGTATGATTTATTTAATATTTTTTCGTATTTTTGGTAATGTTTTATATGTTATAACCCCGTTATATTTCTCGTACAGTCGACTGGTAACTGTCTGTAGTGAGATTTTAACAGGGATATATAACTCGGTCGTTCATTTTAACCTATTTGTTGAATAAGGGGTAAAACCGGATACATTTGGTTCTGTGCGCGAGTCTAGCATCTTGTACAAAGATGTTTGGCTTAGGGAAAGGAAACATTAATAATATAACTATGGCCCTCTATCCATACGTACTTATGATTCATATTCGTATAAAACTCTTGATTGAAATAATTTGACATGCATACATGTATAATTATTATAATTATTGCAGTATTAAGGATTTTGGACTAAGGATTTCGAGCACATGTGCTTGGTCCTTGAGTAAGTTATCCTTTATCGCAATTATTATAAATTGACATCTATGTGTTATGTTTGTTAATTAATATAATTTAAAAAAATTTATAAAATTTTTTTTATTAGATTATATACTATATTAAAAACTATAACAATAAAAAACTAAAACTAGAAACTTAATTATCATATAGTCCTACTCTCCGCGGTATCGTGCCAAAAACGCTGGCTGCGTTTCCCCGCTGAATGGCTATACTTAGCCTTTGAGCGAGAAAAGAACCAGCCCTCTTATCACCAGCAGCAACGACCAGCCGCGGATGGAGTTCCTTTAGGAACTTCACCGCACGTGGAACATTTATAGAGACAAGAGCCCTTCGGATGACATCGTTCAAAGAACTGTGTCGTGAAATCCTACCAGCGCTTTTCTTACATGAAAGTCCGTGGAGACCAAACTTGTCGACGCTGCTGCCACAGGGGCACTGATGGAGATGACAAAGCGCCGCTCCTAGTCGGATTCCTACGGCGATGCACAAGCTTTCCCCATCAAGTAATGTGCCGAGATTACTTGATGGTAAAGCGTGTAACCAGTGACTAGATTCCTTTGTCGAAACAGCTAGATAGCGTGCCTTATCTAGCTGTTTCGAATAACTTATATAGGTTACTATGGAAATTATGAAACAAATCTTTCTGCACGCCCCGTACCAACGGAATATCCCACTGTTTTTGTTGGTTAACTTCCAGTGGAACATTTTCACCGGGACAGAGCGTTTGCCTGTCTGCCCTGCCTCCGTAGCAAAGCATAGGTCTACTTTATTATTTAAAATTATGTTACATAAGTCACTGAGACTATGCACGGAAGTAAGGAATGCAGGCAATGCAACGCTAGAAAGATTCCTCACACCAATGCCACCAAATTTTATAGGTAAAGTAGCTTGAGTACGGGCTGTTCTATTTAAAGTTACATTCAGAAATTTTTCTATAGCTATTTTAAGATTATTATCAATATCTTTTAAAATACCCGAACATTTCCAGACTGGACTCGAGCGAAGTAAGTATGTAAATCTAGGTACAAGGAGACAATATTTTAAAATAGTAAGAGCTATGTGGGGGTTTAATTTATACAATTTATCAACGTGGTTTAAAAAGCGATCAAATTTTGTTTTTAAAACAGGTTTAATACTCGTACTATCGAAAAACAACGGGGCACCTAGCAGGTATAGAGATTCCGTACTGACAGTTTTTATTCCTGGAGAAACATGATTGAAATTTTGAATTAAAGTGTCTCTATGAGAAGTAGATAACTTATTGGAAAAAAATATTTCACATTTATTGCTATTTGGTTCAAGACCAATATTTTTAAAATTTCGAAAAATATGAGTAAGATCACTAAGAGGACGCCATCTGCTCTACCTCCCAGTACCAGATGTCTCCAGGTACCAGGCATTCAGCTTGGATTTCAAATTTGAAATAATTGGTTGAATTCCCACACTGAAAAGTGCTGGACCTAGTGGGTCACCCTGCTGAACACCGACAGCAGAATCTATAACATGGTTTTCGTAAAACAAGTTAGTATTTTGACTACAAAATTGCCAAACGTAATGATAAATTTCGGGGGTAATTAAAAATTTTGTACAACTGTAACTATAAATTATTAAGAATAACTCAAAAAATATTGGTCAGACCTTGACTTGATTTATATGGGACTACATGTAAAGCACCAACTTTCAAATAAAAAAAATAATCATTAAAATCGGTTCACCCAGTAAAAAGTTTGAGGTAACACACTTAAAAAAACATACAGTCGAATTGAATGCCGTCTTCTTTTTGAAGTCGGTAGAAAATATTAATATTATTGATTTTTTAAATTTAGAATAAGGGTGCTTTTCCACCAGAAATGTGCTATACAGCTATGCTGCGAGGATGTGAAAGCTAAGCTATGGAACTATGTGACCGTTTCCACTAATGCTAAGCTATGTAGGGGGCGAGTAAGATGTGCTATGAAGAGCGCAGCTTGAGCTATGCGATGTCTCGACAGTAGGAAAGGCACGGGAAGCTCTGCCTTGCGCATAACTACACCACTCGGTACCATCCATAGCACCCATCCATAGCACGCATCCAGAGCACGCATCCATCCATATAAAAAACATAGCTTAGTTGAAATAGTAAAGAAATACCTTTATTTAAATCTGGTAGTACATTAGACCCCGCAAATTTTAGATCAATTTCTGTACTGCCAACATTTAGCAAGAATCAAATGTAATTTTTTTTAAATGTAATTAGTTTACTTCATAAAAATCAATTCGGTTACACAAGGGGTCGCTCGATAACTGATGCTGGTGTTGAGCTGATTAAACATATTTTCAATGCATGGGAGAATTCAGAGGATGCTTTGGGTATATTTTGTGACCTATCCAAAGCCTTCGATTTTGTTTACCATGAAACATTAATCAGGAATCTACAACACTACGATGTAAGAAGTAATGCTCTTAAATTAATTGTTTCATATTTAAGTAACAGAACGTAAAAAGTTGTCATTAATAGTATGAGCTCTTCCGGGTCGATAGTACAAATGGGCGTGCCTCAAGGCTCAATTCTCGGCCCCTTTCTGTTTCTTGTATATATTAATGACTTACCTTACATAGTAGGGGATAACCATAATATAGTATTATTTGCCGATGACACTTCATTAGTTTTCAAATTAAAATGACAATTATTAAAATATTACGAAGTAAATAAAGCTATATATATCGAAATTAGTAAATTGGCTTAATGTTAATAACTTGTATTTTAATGGCACTAAAACGAAATGTTTCATACATTTCGTTTTATTATAGTTTTTATTCATGACTCCAAATGTCAAACAATTAAATACTAATATAATTTTAAATGGGGAGGAACTGAGTATTGTCGATATCATCATTTTTAATGGAATGACACTGACGCAAAACTTCAATGGAGCCCTTATTTATCAAAACTGACAAGCAGACAGATTAAAAATCTTACCAGTGTGGAAAAAGCTTGACTTGTTTACTTTAGCTATTTCCATAGCATAATGTCGTATGGTATTTTGTTACAGGGACACGCGACTGACACTGAAATTATATTTGTTTTACAGAAGAGGGCCATAAGAGAAATCTATGATTTAAAACCTAAAGAGTCGCTCCGATAATAATTTAAGGAGATTAATATATTATAAACTTTGACCTTTCAATATATTTATGAAAATGTACGTACATAAAAATAAAGGTAGTTATATACAAAAATAAGTGATATTCATTCTGTAAATACTAAGAACAGACACAAGTTAGTAGTACCAGTTACTCGACTCCACCGAGTCAGTAATTCATTCTTGGTGCGATGTATACGCTTTTACGACAAAATCCCGAAAAATATACAAAATTTGACCTGCTCAAAGTTCAAAAACTTTATTAAACAAAGTTTGTATAAGAAGGGTTATTATAATATTAAGGAATTTATGGATGATAATAACCCCTTGGAATGAGGTGATCGCTACCAAGATATTTCTAATTTGATGTGTGTGGTTAATTGTGTAACATACATGATTGTAAGCTGCTTTTTTAAAAAAAAAGTCCCGCTGGGTTTCTTACTGGTTTTTCCCAGGACAGAGGTTTTCTTCGAACCAGTGGTAATTAAACAAGAGAGTGACTTTCAATAAGTATTATGAGTGAAACAACAAAATAATGCTTCGGTATTTTATATGGTGAGTGTAGAGCCGACGAACCGGAGACCCTTTATACTGGTAAAAAGGCATTCCATCTTAGTCCTCAGGGATGACAATGCGTCTGCATTTTGAATCTGAAGCGAGAATAGATGTGGATATTTATAGGCCACAGCATTCACTTACCATCACTGTGGACTGTGTGCGCACTTGTCACCTTCTAAGTAAATAATCTATACCTACTGAAAGGGCAGTCCGTCGCTTGGCGTCAATCCTGCAACTGAAAGGGTCCAAACAGTCAGGGGTTAATTATTCATTGACGTTCTACCCCGTGAAACTGAAATCACACCACGTTGGGTTCGTGACCCGCGTGACCCCAGAGAAGGAGTGTCACACTAAGACGTCTGTTGCCCTTTCTGGAAAGAAAGGTTAGACGACTAAGATTACGGGTCCCTTTGGAGTAGGCCCGGTCTCGACGTCCCTTGAGTGGACTGTATTTTCCTATTATTAGAAGGTGCAGTAGGAAATGAAACATATCTAATTTAATATAGGACTTTTATTCGTATTGCATAGCCGATTACTATGTTACATATGACTCTAAATTAATCTATAAACAAACTTTCATGGAATCCACTCTCGACCGGGGAACCCCGAACTTTCGTTCGACATTATATTGAATCTATTTACTTTTAAAATAGATTATCTCCTTATTCGAAATGCCTTATAGAATTTAATTGCACTACTTTTTAAGGACGTCGGAAACACCTTCTTATGAATAAAATTTAAGTATCTGTCTGTTATATT